CTCAGCGCCTGTCCCCCTCCGCGGGGCCTGGCCTGTGCCCTGGGGGAGCTGTGAGCTGGCCGCTGGACCCCTACGCCTGTGCCTGTGGCCAGGAGGGAGGCGGGCGCGGACCAGTGTCCTTGTCTGGATCCAGAGCCAGCCTCGGTGCTCTGGCCAGGAACTCTCTGAGGAAACGCCCGGCAGCCACGGCAAACACAGGCAAGGCACACAGAGCCCGGCCGGGCTCTTCTCCAGCGACCTACGCCAGCCGGATTGGCCTGGCCATGCTGTGTCCAGGGACACAGATGGCTGCTCCTTCTCTTGACCTTGGGTGGGGAACCCCGCCCAAAAGCCCCCTTTTAGCTCTTGGGCAATTCCCCTTCCCTGGCTGCTCAGGGCAGGGGCTGGAACAGACCAGTTCAGTGAAGGTTTGGCCATTCTCAGTCATTCCCAGACTGCCCACTGGTCTCAGCCTCCAGCCTTCACAGAGCCCTTCATACCTCTGCATGCCTGCTCAAGTGATTTCCTCAGCCGGGAAGTTTCCCTTACCATCTCCTGGAGAGCTCCTATGCATTCCTCAGAACCCTACTCAGACACCATTACTTCTACTGAAGCCTGACTTCACACAATTGATCACGCCCTCTCATCGGATGCCCATGATACACTGTGACATCTGCAGGAGAACTGATGTCACATTACACATTTCTGGTCGGGGATTTAGCTCAGTGGCACCACACCTGCCTCACAAGCACAAGGTCCTGAGTTCAATCTCTGGTACCAGAAAAAAACAAAACACAGTACACATTTGTGTTCATTTGTGTCTGCTCCTCACTAGACGGTGGGCTTCCGGTGGTCAGGGACTGAGTTTTGTCCATCTGCGTGTTCTCCAGGTCTAGCTTGGCAGGCACTCAATAAACGTGTATTAGGTGAAGCCCTGTCCTGGAGAGTGGAGGCCAGGACTGAAGTCACTGCCCTTATTTCTGAGAGGCCAGGGGACAGGGAGGTGACAGACGCGCACCCCTTGGCTCATTGTGTGGATGCTCAGGGCCTTGGGGGCCCTGTCTACCCTGGGCGGGTCCCAGCTCTGAGCTCCTCTGCTGGGCAGGCTGGGAGAGGGCAGCCGGGACCTGGCTTCGGAGTGGTGGGACCCGTGTCTGCCTGTGCCAGCTGCATCTCCACCAGCTGCACTCTGCTCCCTAGAGCCTCCCCACCCGCTCCTCTGGTCCCATCAGACTCAGCCAGTTTTATCAGAACCCTCTGCTTTGCGGGAGAAGCTGGGGTCCAGGAGGCCAAGGGGTGTCTGAGCCCTGGCCCACAGCCCCTCTCGTTCCCCCGCCTCCTCTGCCGTCTCTGTCATTCATCTCTGTCTCGGGAAGGTAGGGACAGGGAAAGGGCCGGACCTGGAGCCGGCGCTGACTTCCCTTTCCTGATTCTCGCCGATGGGGAGATGGTGCTGCCCCACCGGAACCCTTAGGTGGTGTGCCGCCCGGTGCCCTGCCCTCTGCCTCCTGCCCTGCAGGAGGTGGCTGGTGACGGGGTGGGGCCAGCCCTGGCCGCCTCAGGCTCACGGGCCCAGTCTGTGGTTGCTCCAGGAGTTGGGTCTGAGCTTCCCAGTCGGGTTAGTGGGTGGAGCCACTGGTCCAGGCCCCGCTCTGACAGAACCAGCTGGGCACCAGTACTGACTGCCCTGCCTCCTGGGAAGGGTGGGGTCCTGATGAGAAGGTGGGGCGGACCTGGTCACCTGGGCTGAGGGGGCCCCTACGGTTCAGGGCATGTGAGTGTGGGTGTGTGTGGGTGGGTGACTGCCCTGCCTCCTGGGAAGGGTGGGGTCCTGATGAGAAGGTGGGGCGGACCTGGTCACCTGGGCTGAGGGGGCCCCTACGGTTCAGGGCATGTGCGTGTGTGTGTGTGTGTGTGTGTGTGTGTGTGTGGGCACTCACAGCCCTGTGTGAGGCGTGAGGGGCACAAGACTATTGATCTGAAGCATTTTTTTTGTGGAACTGAGGATCAAACCCAGGGGGGTTCTGCCACTGAGCTCTGTCCCAGCCCTTCTCAGTTTTAATTTTCATTCTCACTATGTGGCCCAGATTGGCCTGGAGCTTTCAGTCCTCCTGCCTCAGCCTCCCCAGTGGCAGGAATTACAGGCCTGTGCCGCCACACCCAGCTCTCCAGGTCTCCATCATTGGCTCAGGAGCCCAGCAGCCGGCTCTGTCCTCCCACCCTGCTGGTCTTGTCTCCATCTCTTCCCCCATCCAACCCCACCATCATTTTTTCTACTCTTGGAGAGATTATAACCTCTGGGAAACTAGCTAGGCTTTTTGCTTTTTTTTTTTTTT